GGGGGACTTGATAATAGGGGGAGTCTAGTAACCATAATGTTGTTCAAGTAATTGTACATTAATGGTATCAAAATAAAAAAAAATAAAAAATAAAAAATAAAAAAAAGCTCTCTCAACTTAGAAAAATACAGATACTAGATAAATGCTTCTGGATAATGATGGTGATATTTCCATAGCTTCATGAAAAATATTAAGAAATTTTGTCTTAATATTTTTAAATCATTTATCAACTACCATTCTATTTTAATTTTTTCACTTGCATAAATATGCTGCATGCATCACAACAAAACAAACAAACATAGGATGTACATGTACACCAAGAGTGAACCCTTATATAAACTATGGACTTTCGGTTACCAGGATGTGTCCATGTAGGGTCATTGACTTTAACAAATGCACCTCTGTGTGGGGCACCCTGATGGTGGGAGGGGCTGTGGGTGATACACGGGAACTCCTCTTTCCGCTCAGTTTTCCTGTGAACCTGAAACTACCCCCAAAAGTAAAGTCTATTTTTTAAAAAATCAATTGGCCATAGATTTAAATTGGCCATGAATCTATAAACGTGAATTGGTTATTGTTCTGGACTCTCAAGTCTATTCCAGTGTAATCTATGTCTATCTTTTTTTCAGTAACACGGTCTTGATTGCTTCAGCTTTGTAGTGAGTTTAGATACCAACAACTATGTGTACTCCAACCTTGATCTTTTTCAAAATCGCTTTGACTATTTTGGGTCCCTTGTATTTCCATATGAATTTTAGGGTAAGCTTGATAATTTCTGTAAAACCCACAAGTTGGCATTCTGACAGGCATTACACTGGATCTGCAGATCAATTTGGGGAGCATTGCTGTCTTAACAATACTGTCTTCCAGTCCATTCAGATGGGCTGTTTTTCCACTTATTTAGGTCTTCTGTAATTTCTTTCAGTGATGGTTAATAGTTGTCAGTGTACAAATCTTGCATTTCTTCTATTAAATTTATTTTTTTCCAGCTTTATTGAGCTTATAATTGACATATTATTATAAGTATCTTATACATTTTTTTTAATACTATGTAAGGAGATAAACTTTCTCAATTTTATTCTGGATAGTTCATTGCCTGTGTATGGAAATACAATTGATTTTTGGTTTTGTTGTTTTTTTCAGTCTTATTGGGGTATGACTGACAAATAAAATTGGAAGATATTTAAAGCATACATCACAATGATTTGATATTCACTATAAAAGGATTCTTTCTATCTAATTAACACACCCATAACATCAAATATTTATCATGTGTGTGTGTGTGTGAGAGAGAGAGAGAACATTTAAGCTCTACTCGTAACAAATTTCAATTTTTTTTTTACAATAGTGTGCTATCAAGTGAAGTTGTTGCTGGGCAGCTGCATCTGGGGAGGCCTCTCTGCACATTAGGTGAAACTTCAACTCCCATGGGGGAGGGTTCTTGAACCTGAATGAGAAAGAATTCTCCAGCAGGTGGGATGAGTGTAGGTAAGGAAGGAATTCATTAAAGTGACAGTGGCAACATATGGCAGCTGCCCTCCAGGTGGCAGACAACAGGGAGATGCAGAGGGAAAGAGGGAAAGTTTGTTGAACTCTTACTTGGCCTAGGGCAGATTTTCTTGCTAACTCCTGAAGCCAGGGTCACCTGGCGTCCTGTCTAGTTGGATCTGCACAGCATAGGGACTGGTTCCTACCACCCCAGGGTTTGGGGGACCTGTGGAGCACAGGATGGAGTGAGGTTATGTTCTGAGAACTTCCCAAAGGAAAGAGACCAGGAAGGAGACCAGGTCACTCAGGCAACAGGAACCTGCAGCTCAAATGAGCTCTCAGCAGCCTCTCTCCACTTATGAGGAGTAAAGTGGAGACAGAGTGAAGACTTGGAAATAAAATGAAGCAGCAAAGAGACAAAACAATAATTTTAACAGTGAGTAAGCTTTATTTGAAAGAATGCACTTGGAGGGGAGTGCGGGCATCCTCAGAGAGGAAGCACATTGAAAGACTTGGGGATTCTGTCTTTCGAAGTTTTCAAGGATGCGGCAAAGGGTGCGGGGCAAGTGGGCGGGTCCGTAGTTTAGGCCTGACATGTGGTCCCCTGATGTTTCTCTCTGGTGAGAGAGACTGTTACTGTTCACAGTCAGGCTTCCAGATAATTCTGTAAGACAAACTTAACACAAGGAATGTATCGATCCTGCTCATCTCTGCAACAGTGGTCACTCTCAAGAACTGGGAACATGTGAGTTATGACTTCTTGCTCCGCCCTAAGATAGGTTGTTGGCTAATTACAGAACAATGTTAGGAATCTTACCTCGAAACTCTCTGGTTTTTAAAATAGAATCTTAACTTTAAGATGGGGTCCTTCTTGTTCTTACCATACTGTTTTTATTTTAGCATTTTTCATCATAAGAAGGAAGGGTTAATTTTGATGCCTCTCATGTCCCTGACCTGCATCAGAGTCACCGTGCTAGAACCGGTCCTCTAATTTTGTATATTGATCTTACATCCTGCACCTTTGCTGAACTTGCTTATTAGTTGTTATATTTTGTTGTGTGGATTCCTTAGTATTTTATATACATAAGCTCATGTCATCTGTGACTAGAGATAGTTTACTTCTTTCTTTCCAATCTTGATTTCTTTTATTTCATTTTCTCAACTAAGTGCTGTTAAAATTCAACTGAGTACATTTGAAGATCTAACTGGACTTATTAAGCAATTCATGAATCAGGTACCTTCCCATCTGGCGAGTCAAGAGATGCCCAGTGAAGATGTCCGAAATGGAAATTTTTTTACAGGAAGGAGGGTGGGTCAAGAACCTATTAGCAAAAGAAAGGAAAAGGGTTGGTACATCTCTTTGGGGTGTGGGGAGGGAAAAGCAGGGCTTTTTATCATGCAGATTACCTCCCTGGTGCTGATAGGAAATTTCAGATTGACTTTTAAAAGGTCACATTCCTGCAATCTGTTGAACTGTAATTAAGTCTTGGTTTTTGCTGTTGTGAAGGCCAAATGACTGTGTTCTAGGCTTGCTCTGTATTTTCAAACTTCCATGGCTCCTCCACTAAAATGTTGAATACAAGAGGTCAGAGTGATACGATGGGGACATGACAGCCTCTTCAACAGCTGGTGTTGGCAAAACTGGACAGCTACATGCGAGAGAATGAAACTGGATCATTGTCTAACCCCATACACAAAAGTAAACTCAAAATGGATCGAAGACCTGAATATAAGTCATGAAACCATAAAACTCTTAGAAGAAAACATAGGCAAAAATCTCTTGAATATAAACATGAGCAACTTTTTCATGAACATCTCCTCAGGCAAGGGAAACAAAAGCAAAAGTGAACAAGTGGGACTATATCAAACTAAAGAGCTCCTGTACAGCAAAGGACACCATGAGCAGAACAAAAAGGCATCCTACAGTATGGGAGAATATATTCATAAATGACATATCCAATAAGGGATTGACATCCAAAATATATAAGAGCTTACGTACTTCAACAACCAAAAAGCAAATAACCCAATTAAAAAATGAGCAAAGGATATGAACAGACACTTCTGCAAAGAAGAAATTCAGATGGCCAACAGGCACATAAAAAGATGCTCCACATTGCTAATTATCAGAGAAATGCAAATTAAAACCACAATGAGTTATCACCTCACACCAGTTAGGATGGCCAACATAGAAAAGAAGAGGAACAACAAATGTTGGCGAGGTTGTGGAGAAAGGGGAACCTTCCTACACTGCTGATGGGAATGTAAACTAGTTCAACCATTGTGGAAAGCAGTATGGAGGTTCCTCAAAAAACTCAAAATAGAAATACCATTTGACCCAGGAATTCCACTCCTAGATATTTACCCTAAGAATACAGGATCCCAGATTCAAAGACATATGCACTCTTACGTTTATCACAGTACTATTTACAATAGCCAAGAAATGGAAGGAACCTAAGTGTCCATCAGTAGATGAATGGATAAAGAAGGTGTGGTACTATACACAATGGAATATTATTCTGGCGTAAGAAAACAAATCCTACCATTTGCAACAACATGGATGGAGCTAGAGGGTATTATGCTCAGTGAAATAAGCCAGGCAGAGAAAGACAAGTACCAAATGATTTCCCTCATTTGTGGAGGATAACAACGAAGCAAAAACTGAATGAACAAAGCAGCAGCAGACTCACAGACCCCAAGAATGGACTAACAGTTACCAAAGGGAAGGGGCTGGGAGGGTGGGTCGGGAGGGAGGGATGAGGGGATTAAGGGGCATTATGATTAGTGTGCATAATGTAGGGGGGGGCACAGGGAAGGCAGTACAGCACAGAGAAGACAAGTAGAGATTCTATAGCGTCTTACTGCACTGATGGACAGTGACTGTAATGGGGTATGTGGGGGAGACTTGATAATGGGGGAATCTAGTAACCACAATGTTGCTCATGTGATTGTATATCAATGATTTCTTAATAAATTTTAAAAAAGCCAGAGGTACACAAACCAAAAGGTTAACAGTGGTTCTATCAAAGTACATGGAAAAAAAAAAAAGAGGTCAGAGTGGACATCCTTATGTTGTTCTTGATCACCAGTGACAGCTCCTAGTCTTTCACCATTGAGTAAGTGTATCAGCCAAGAGTTTTCTGTAGATGGTCTCTATCAGACTGAGAAGCTCCCTTCTATTTCTAGTTTGTTGAATGCTTTTCTGGGTCTGCTGAGATGATCATGTGGTTTGGTCCTTTATTCTATTAGTATGGCATATTGCATTGATTGATTTCCCTACGTTAAATCAATCTTATATTCCTGAGGTAAATCCCACTTGGTTCTCTTTCATATGTTGCTGGGTTTGATTTGCTAGTATTTTGTTGGGAAAGTCTGCATGTTCATGAGGGATATTGGTGGGTAGTTTTCTTTTCTTGTGATGTCTTTGTTGAGCTTGGTGTCAGGGCAGCCCTGGTCCCGGCAATCAGCCGGCCATATTCTTGGAAGTGCCAACCATGCTTGGTCACCAGCACCTACTGTCTGTTGGCACCTGTGAGAGGCAGTGTGGCGAGGGCCTTCTCGGGCAGGCGGAAGGTCAGGGCTTCAGTATTCCGGTGTTGTCGCTGAGGCTTTCTGAGAACTCCTGTTAAAAAATCACCCAGGCCTCTTGGTTTGAAATGCATTTTTCAGATTTGTGTGGAGGCATTTCAGAGCAAGGAACATCTGCTCCGTTACGTTTAGGCTATGTGCGAGCAGGCTAAGGGAAATGCCATCCCTGCAGGAGGCAAGAGCCCATCGGAGAAGTTCCTCAAGACAACATCAACCAAATACCAGAAGGGACAGGGGGCAGCCAGGGCACAGCGTTCCAAGGGGCACCATCTTGTCTGGGAGTCCACCACCCTTCCACCAGCCCACTGAGCCTGACAGGCCGCACAGACCACTAAAATCCTATTCCACAAACCACATGTAAGTCTGAAAACATGTATAAACTTCTGGAGGAAAAGCATATCTTTCGCTTTGCTTGGGTGGATGGTCAGCATTTTGCTGTGAACACATTAACACCATGTCACACCAACTTTTTCACTTTCAAAGCACTGGGAAGAGCCGAAGGTCAAAGGCCTGTCAGCCCCAGCAATACATATGCCTAGGGGGGAGGGGTTTGGGATGTGATGGCCCCCGCGGCCAGCATGGGGCGGAGACCTTGTGGAGTAGGTCCTCAGGATGGCACCCCTGCCTGATCTCCACGAGTGGGCAGCTGCTTTGGGGGTCCCCAGGCTCCTCCGGGCCTGACAGGCACCCCTAGGCTGGCGGCTGCCGCTGGTGTCAGGACCCCTAGGTGTGCCCAAGCAGCACGTCTGTAGGGGGTTCCCGGGAGTCCGATGCCACCTCTCAGGGCACTGTCTGCAGCTAGAGGCTCAGACAACCAGTGAGTTCTGCCAGTTCACATGCACCCTCAAAAGCCCTGCACTCCCTGGCCAGTGTGCGGTGGCCTACAGCCGCGCCACGGTGCGGGACGGGTCAAGGACTGCCCGGCCACCCGGCCACTCCTGTACTCTCATCTTACCAGAGGCTTGCCTGATGCCCCCAGTCCCCACAAGCCCCACTGTTGGGGGGTCTGGAAGGTGCCCAGCTGGGCGGATACATTCTGGGGTGGGGGATCAAGGGGCGTATATGCAGCAGTGCCAGGTGGGTGGGCCCCAGACCCCTCAGACCCGGCCCGTCACCTTGCCCGCCTCCCAAGGTCACTGCGGGCCCCGTCACTCACCTGGCGGCCCGGACGTCCTCACCTGTGAAGAGAGCGTAGCCGTGCCGAGCCCTGCTCTCCACCTTGTCGGGCATACGCAGGATGGGCGGCCTGGCGAGCGGGCGGCAGCGAGGTGGGGCCGGGGCCGGATCCGGCGCCCGGGGCGGGGGAGGGTGCTGCGCGCTGCCGGCGGCGGCGGGCGGCGCGGGCGCCGCGCTCAGAGCAGCCGCGGCGGCGACAGCAGGTGGGTCGCAGCGAGTCCTGCGGGATCAGACCGAGGCCCGAGGGGAGGCGAAACCTCGGTACCGGGGGCGGGGGCTCGGCGGACCGACTCTGGCGGCTTCGGGGCGCAGGCCCCGGCTCCCCGCCTCCCGCCGCGTGCGCGGATGCCCGGCCGGGCTGGACGAGGGGGAGGGGGTGCCTGCCGCTGTCGGGCCAGGTGGCCGCCTGCGCCACGCCCTGGGCAGCCGAGCGCTCCTGTTCCGGGTCCCGGTGCCTGGTCCGGTCGCTGGAAGCCTCGGGTTTCCAACTCGCTTTCGGATCCCTCACCCCCAGAGGGGTTCCCCACCGCGCTCCCTAGGGCTGCTCCCTCCCCAGCCTCAGAGACACCCCCCACCCCGCCCCCGCAAACATGCCCAGGTCCAGCTCCACCAGGCTCCCCCCCTGTGGAGAGGCCGAGGGGTCTTCATGCTCCCCTGTGACTCCTGCCCACCACTGCGCCACCCCAGCCCTCCAGCAGGCCACTGATGCTGTTGTGTGTGCCCCAGGGTGGGTCAGAGCAAGGACTGAAGGCCGGCCAAGCCCCCGATGGGCAGCCTGTCATTCCCTTCTGCACCCAGTAGGTGCAGGCGCTGGCTTGGTGCCCCCCTCAGCTGCCCACCATGGCCCCAGGGCTGCCCAGCACCGCCAGCCTGGCGCGCCTCTGCCAGAAGCTGAACCGGCTGAAGCCACTGGAGGAGTCCACCATGGAGACGTCACTGCGGCGCTGCCTTTCCACGCTGGATCTGACCCTGCTGGGTGTGGGTGGCATGGTGGGCTCAGGCCTGTATGTGCTCACGGGCACCGTGGCCAAGGAGATGGCTGGCCCTGCCGTGCTCGTGTCCTTTGGCGTGGCTGCCGTGGCCTCCTTGCTGGCAGCCCTATGCTACGCAGAGTTTGGGGCACGGGTGCCCCGCACGGGCTCTGCCTACCTGTTCACCTATGTGTCCATGGGCGAGCTGTGGGCCTTCCTCATTGGCTGGAATGTGCTCCTGGAGTACCTCATTGGTGGTGCTGCTGTGGCCCGGGCCTGGAGCGGCTACCTGGACGCCATGTTCAGCCACCGCATTCGCAACTTCACTGAGGCCCACGTGGGCGTCTTGCAGGTGCCCCTCCTGGCCCACTACCCAGACTTCCTGGCTGCTGGCATCCTCCTTTTGGCCTCCACTCTCGTGTCCTGCGGAGCCCGCGTCTCCTCCTGGCTTAACCACCTGTTCTCTGTTGTCAGCCTGGGTGTCATCCTCTTCATCATTACCCTGGGCTTCATCCTGGCCCGCCCGCACAACTGGAGTGCTGCGGAGGGGGGCTTTGCACCCTTCGGCTTCTCCGGCATCATGGCCGGCACCGCCACCTGCTTTTACGCCTTCGTTGGCTTCGATGTTATTGCTGCCTCCAGCGAGGAGGCCCAGAATCCCAAGCGAGCCGTGCCTGTGGCCATTGCCATTTCACTTGGCCTGGTGGCTGGCGCCTACATCCTCGTCTCCACCGTGCTCACGCTCATGGAGCCCTGGCACAGCCTGGACCCTGACTCGGCACTCGCTGATGCCTTCTACCGGCGGGGCTACAGCTGGGCGGGCTTCATCGTGGCAGCTGGCTCCATCTGCGGTAAGGAGCCTGTCCAGGCAAGGTGGGAGGGCACGGGGCAGCGGGGCCCTGCCCTTAGCCTCCTTGGGAACACGTCTCTGTCTGGGCTGCATTACCAGTTGTTTGGTGGTCCCAGATAGGTGCTAATGGTCGGACTCTCCACCCAAGCTGGTTGAGATGGACCTGCCACTGCCCCTCCCAGTTGTACATAGAATGTCAATTCTGAGCATGGGCTCCATTTCCTTTCCTGGCAGAGGGACTAGACCCTCAATAGCTTCTCCAAGGGGCTTATCACCTAAACTGGGATGTCCCATTCCTCAGTGGTGGGGGTAACAATCCAGCACCCCACATATACGCAGGCTAACTTGAGAGCCCAGGCAAACTCATGCCTGTGTTCCCATGGAGCTGGCACCCAGCAGATGTACGGAGTGCCTGTCTGCCATGCTAACCACCCTCCCGATCCCCTCCAGCCATGAACACTGTCCTGCTCAGCAACCTCTTCTCCCTGCCACGAATCGTCTATGCCATGGCCACCGACGGGCTCTTCTTCCAGGTGTTTGCCTATGTGCACCCCCGGACGCAGGTGCCTGTGGTGGGCATCCTGGTCTTTGGGGTCCTCATGGCTTTCCTGGCACTGCTGCTGGACCTCGAGGCGCTGGTCCAGTTCCTGTCCATTGGCACACTGTTGGCCTACACCTTTGTGGCCACCAGCATTATTGTGCTACGCTTTCAGAAGCCCCCACCACCCAATTCTCCAGGCCCAGCCAGCCCTGGCCCCATGGCCAAGGAATATGACTCCTTCTCAGACCACATACACCTGGTGGGCGCCCAGCAGGCTTCAGCCCCCGAGCCTGGGCAACTGCGGCCAGCCCTGAGGCCCTACCTGGGCTTCCTGGATAGGTATATCCCTGGAGCTGCCGTGGCTTGGGCGCTCGGCTCCCTGGTGACCTCAGCCATCACCCTGGGCTGTGTGCTGGTCTTTGGGGGCTCGGCCCTACACCTCCCACGCTGGGTCTACATCCTGCTGGTCCTGCTCAGCTCTGTTGTGTTTCTGCTCAGTCTCCTGGTCCTGGGGGCCCACCAGCAACAGTGCCAGCAAGACAGCTTCCAGGTACCTCCTCCAGCCAACACCTAGTGGCCGTCAGCCCAGCCAGAGCCCTCCACCCCATTCCCTGCCATGGCAGTATGAGCCACGGCCCACAGGCTGGAGGGCCAGTTCACCATGTCCCTCTCTTTGCATGGCAAGCGGGCACTTGTTTCCCAACACTCCAGGGTGGAGAATGGCTCTGTGGGCCCCTGGGGAATCAGACCCTGCGCCAGCATTCCTTCCCACCGGCCCAGCCCTGCCCTGCCCCCATCAGATCCCCTTGGTGCCTGTGACTCCCGCCCTCAGCGTCCTCCTCAACGTCTGCCTCATGCTGAAGCTCAGCTACCTGACCTGGCTGCGTTTCTCCATCTGGCTGCTGATCGGTGAGTGGGGGCCAGGCAGAGCCCAGGCAAGCTGCGGGAGGGGTGCGAGGAGGGCAGGAGGACCTGGGCTGCCTCTCAGGTGAGTGCGACCCCCACAGGGCTCGCCGTGTATTTCGGCTACGGCATCAGGCACAGCAAGGAGAGCCTCCGGGAGCCGTCAGGGCCAACTGCCACGCACTACGTGGTGTTCCCCAGCGGCGGCCTGGAGGAGGCTCTGCAGGCCGTGCAGCCCCCTGGCCAGGTGCTGGCCCAGGAGTCCGTCCACGTGGAACAGCCCACCCGCTTGTGAAGCCCGCCCTCCGCCACCACCAGGAGGCTGGAAGGGCTGGAGCCCCTTCTGCCAGAGCAGCAGGGTTGGTGGGCCTGCTCACGCCGAGGGGCCTCAGGACCTTAGCCTGGGCCGAGCTGCAGGCCTCTGGCAGTGGATTCTGCCCAGTGCCTTCAGTTTATGACCAACTGCAGCTACCTGGGCAGGTGGGGTAGGGTGGGAAGGGAAGAGACCCTCAGCCCCAGGACTTCACAATTACAACCACTCAGCCAGCTGTGTGGCCTACCACTGTGTCCAGTGTGGTGTTCTTTGTGGCCCCAAGCCCTGCTGTCCCAGGAATGAGGCAGTTGTCCCTGACCTACAGTACAGGCTATGGGGTTCTGCAAGGGTGATGCCCCAGCCCTGGGACGGCCCAAAGTCAGGGACACAACCGGGCCTGGGGGACCTGGCCTCGGGCCAGCTCAGAGGGGAGCTACATGCCCCAGGTGAGGAGGGGTGCAGGCAGGGGCACAGGCTCACCACGACCCCTGGGAGGGAGGATCCAGGCAGCAGAGCCTGGGCTCCAAGGAGGCTGCCTAGACAGGGCAGCAGAGAGCAGATTCCAGGGTTCCCTCGGTTTCCCAGGGCTCCCAGAGAGCAGGGTCCGTCCCTGAGGTCTGCCCAGGGATGTGCCTGTGTGGGCACGTGCTCCTCTCGGGCATCTGCTCACACAGCTACCCTGGGGCACACACCTGCGTGCACACTGAGCCCACAGCTGTTTTCTGGCTCAGGCCCCTGTGCCGCTGCCCAGCTGTCCCAGCTGGTGCCCCTCCCTCCCCACCTCCCTACCTGCCCACTGCCTCCAGACTCTGTAGTGAGGGCCCAGAATGGTGCATACGCCTGTGTGCAGACGTGAAGCGCCCGGACCTGCTCCGAGTACCTTCCAGAGGGCCTGGGAGCTGTGAGGCCCCTGTCCACAGGGCGGTCCCCAGGCCACCCTGCACCCCCCAGTGGTCATCCAAAAGCCATGCTACATCCAGCAAGGATGCCACCACCTCCCCGTTCCTGCCTATAAGGACCACACAGGAAGCAGCCGGTTTGGGTTGGCTTTGCTCTTCTGCTTCCTACAGCCATGACATCCGCTTTCTCTGGGCCCGGAGCACAACCAGGCATACATGGCTCCACTCCAATAATCAGGCCTCGGCTGTGTCCCCGCACCGTGCTTCCCCATGGGCACTGCTCTGGGGACAAAGAGGCAGGAGAGAACCCACGGCTGCTGAGGCTGCCTGCAGGTGACAGCCCAGCCTAAGGTGGCCCGGCCCTCCCAACCAGCCCCCGTTCCACTGGCAAACTGCCAGCATGCCCCTGCTCACCAGGGACCCCTGAGAGAGCAGTCCCCTTGCCTCCCTGGGGTGGGTACTTCGAAATCCCTGCCCCTACCCTGGGACCAAGAGAGGGTGTGACTCCTGCAGCCCCTGCCCCGCTCCTGATGGGGTTGGGAGCGCAGTTGAGTGCCCAGGGGGGCAATTCTCTAGGCAGCAGGACTCAGACCCTCAGAGAGGATTCCAGAGCCAGAACCAGCTCAGCCTCCTCGGGGCTCGTCGTTCTTTGGGAGGGAGGACGTCCCTTCCAGCCACTGGGTTCTGCCTGAGGTCACGGTTAAGGCATCGCCCTTGCCTCAGGCTGGGGTGGGCAGCTGCCTAGACAGGTTCTCAGGAGCGACCTTGGGCAGCAGTGAATTCCAGGTGTACAGCCTCCCCACCCCCAGATCATCTAGGAAGCCAGGTGAGCAGGTTCCAGGGCTTTGGGCTGGGGCAGGTCACGAAGGAAGCAGGCAAAAGGTCACAGAGCACCCAGTGGCCACTGACCCAGCCCCTCCACCTGCTGCTCTCTGTTCCAGTGCTCCACAGCCTGAGGGCTGCTGCTAGGAAGGGACTGTGCTCTAAGCAGAGCAGGTGTGGACCCAGAGGGCGCCTGTGCCCTTGTCTGCGGTCACAGGGGTTGGACTGTGTGTCCACCCCGCTCTCAATTCCAAGGATGATGCCCCAAGTGAGGTGGGGAGCTGCCCCAGGCACCCCAGCACCAGAGCAGCTGAGATAACCCTTTTGTCAGGCCTTTCTAGCCGGCCTTGGATTTGGGCTACACAGGCCACATAGCAGCGCAGCTGCGAGATGGGGGCCCAGCCTGTGACGGGGTGCTGGCCGGGGGGACGGGGCTAGGAGACAAGCAGGGCTGCAGTCTGCATGGCCGGGAGTGGGGACAGCCAGTGGGGAAGGGTGGCAGCCAGTGGAGGGGGCAGCTAGTGAGGGGGGCAACCCGTGGGGGGGTGACAGTCTGTGGGACAGCTACTGAGAGGGCCTCGGCTGGCAACGCTCATGACAGAGCCCGGAAGAGAGCTCTCCAGGCCCAGACAGCCGGGGCTGTGCGGACCGGCCCCCACCTCCCAGGTGCCCCGGGCTCCCCCCGTCTCCTGGCTCTTGTTCTGCCGCTGGGCTCCATCCAAAACTGGCTTCTGTCACTCCCCTGACAGCACCTGCCAAGGCTGGAGGGACAGTCCGCCTGGGAGTTGAAGTGTGGAATGGTCACACACACACACACACAACGGTCCTGCTGGGGCTTTATCCATGAGGTCCCCAAGCCAGGGCCGCCTCCCTTCCCAGTCCCCAACCTCCTACCAGCAGGGAACAGTGACAGGCTTTAGGACGAGGCCAGCGAGTGGAGGTCAGCCTGGGCAGGACCACCCTGGCACTGGTGTCGGGCTCCCAGAGGCAGCAGCCACGGGAGCAGGTGCCGGGCCCACTCCGAGACACCCGGGCGGCCAGGCGCGGGCTGTGGAAGCCGCCACTGCCTGCTCAGGGCTGGCAGTCACCTTCGGGGCCTTTGCCTGTAGATAAAGTCAGTGAGTCGGGGCTCGGGCCCACATCCCCCAGAGTGCAGTGGAACCCGGGCCCAGGCATGCCGACGGCCCACCTCCTCATACTTGGTCCTCCAGTACAAATGGGCTTCTCCGTCCACGTACAACAGCAGCAGGTCACAGAAGAAGGTGATCTGGGGGAGGCAGGCAGACCTGTGTCCTGGCCTTCAGCCTGCCCCCCAACCACCACCTCCCCAGCCCCCCAGCCCAAGACTCAAAATCAGACACAGGGGTCGAATGCACACTCAGGCACACGTCTGCCACTGCCAACAGGAGCCCGTGTTGGCCAGACTCACCACGCCCAGCCAGGCTGCTCCTGTGCCCAGGGTGATAGCGGTGGGGATGAGCCCAAACTTCCCTGCCTGAGGGAGACCTGGGCTGAGCCTCTCGGGCCCTGCCTGTCACCCCCGCCTCCTGCCCTCCCTGGCCTGGCACCTCCTACCCGCCCCGTGACAAGGATGTCGAAACGGATCCCATAGAGCTTGAGCAGACTCCGGGCCTCCACGCCTGAGGCCTCCCACCAGTGTGTGGCTGTCCTGGGGACAAGAGAGAGAGGCCGGGGGCCTGTTCTGCCCACTCCTGGGCTCAGCTGGCCCTCCGAGCTTCCCTCTTACTCGTCCGCGGACCCCATAAGCCCCTGGCCCACGCTGTCCCAGCTCTGTCATTGCTTCCTCCAGGAACTGGTGAGGCTTTCTGCAGGGGAGACTTTCAGGCTGCGTTTCCAGGGCTCAGGAAAGAGTTCAGGCAGAGAAAGGGGCCGGTGAGAGTACAGGGCGAGGGAGGCCACACGGGCGCTGAGCCAGCCCCGTACCGCAAAGGACCGGGGAGGCCGGCAAAGCCGGGCCAGGCAGGGTCCAGCAAGCAACGTCGGTGCCTCCAGGCCTGCGGGCTGTATGCACATGTCCGTGCTCATTGTGAACTGACATGAGGTGGCAGAAGGATTAGGGGTCGGTTGCTGGGGATCTGCTTAGGACACTCTAAAACAAGACGATAAATGCAATGCAAGACTCCTGAGTGCTTCCTGGATTGGAAAATGGAAAGATTTAGGACTTATTGGCACAGTTGGGGAAATTTAAAATATCCAGTTTACTGTCCGATTAAATTTGCGTGTGACAATAGACAGCAGTCAAGTGGGGAAGGTCCTCAGTGCTGAGAGGGGTGAGTGGCTGCCGCATAGTTTCCAGTAGTTCCCTTTGAGATCTACCTGAACCCAAGCTGCTCGGGAGGGAGAGAACCGGTGAAAGCGGCAAGATGCCGAAGGAAAAACCCACGTCCCTGGCGAGCCCAGATGAAGGGCATATGGGTGTCCACAGTAATGATTTTTTTTCTATAGGCTTTTGAGATTTTTTGGATAAAACCTTAAAGGAAAAGTAAGAAAGCTCGCTCCTTGGGCAGCAGAGGGAGATGCTGGCAGCAGGGTGGGGTGGGAGAGGACTGGCGGGGAGAAGTCCATGCTGTGGTGGGTGGGGGACACCCAGAGATCAGGATGGGTGCTGCACAGAGCCATCCTGGGCCTGAAGCTGAGAACACCCTTTCCTGCCCCTGGGGCCCTCCCTGAACACAGTGGGGCATCCTGGGAGCTGACCCAGGGTGGGTCTGTCCCTGCCGCTCCAGGACAACAGGTGGAGGGGCCCTGGCCAAGGAGCAGCAGGCGGGGGAGGGGCCCACCTGAAGTTGTAGGTTGTCTCCTGCAGGTGGAAGGAGTAGTGAGGCCGGCAGTCAGGGTCCCCAGCATCCAGGTTGCAGTCCCAGTGGACATTGATGCCCACGGCACCTCCCTGCGCACAGCACATTGCTGCTCCACTGGCACGCGGGCCTGGGGCCCTCTGCCCAAGCCCTCCTGGGACCCTGCCCTCCATGGACCCACCAGCAATGCCAGGTCCTCAAAGACCCCTCCAGCCGCAGCCACGAGGTCCCCAATGCGGAACACCGGACAGTAGGGGCTGGAGTGTGGGTCATAGCGACAGCGCTTGAAATAGGTGGTGTCCCAGGTCTCCAAGGCATTGGACCTGCAAAGGGTGGGGCCAGGGGTGTCAGGCCAGGCAGGGGACAAGGAGGGTGTGGAGCTAGTCAGGACCCACCCACACTTACTTGGAGAAGTTGAACTTGCTGAAGGTGACAGTGTTTTTGATGAACAGCGTGAAGTTCTCGGCTTGTATCAGCAGGGGCTTCCTGCAGGCAGAGGGGAGGTGAACGGCAGGGTCTGGTGGTCCTGGGGCCCTGCCCTGCAGTGGAGGGAGACTTACGTGGGCACACTGCCACTCTCCACGGGGCACCAGGCCTGGATCTCACAGGTCCTGTGGGTGTCATTGAATACCACACACTGGCCCGTTTTTATACCTTGAAAACACAAGATAAACTCCAGCCCCTCAAGTGTGCATAGGGCTGGGGAGGTGGTGAGGCAGGGGACTGGGACAGAA